TTTTTTTTTTTTTTCAGTGGCCCTAATCCTCTTCCGTAATAAACTCCAACTCCATTGGAATTTGTTTTTAATCAGATTCACCTCAGAAAACTAGAATCTATTCAGGTTTATGAATCAAAACTGAGATAAAAATCTTCTGCATTTGTTTCTCTTTATCACAGAGTTTGTGTTTCATGTTTAAATAAGAACTTTTATTAAAATGTCTTAAAGTTGGCCCTCAGCTGCAGTTTTCCAATCTGCACACTAGGTGGCAGTGAATCCGGTGAATCAGATGGTACCTTTCTCATGAGGATCTGGGCCCTCTGAACAAACACGGATGGGCTGGAGACGTCAAATCTCTGCTGCAGACCCTCCAGACTCAGCTGCTCCACCTTCTCATAGCAGCTCTGCATCTTCACTGGGTGGAAGGCCAGCATGGAGATCTTTTCCATGTGCTGAGGAGGAGTAAAGGAGAAATTAGCTTGGATGTTCATAGACAAATCTCCCGTTTCCATGGTTATGACAGATGTTTGGTGGTCCTTAGACCAGCCTACCTGAGCTATCATCTCCTTGGTGCCGTTATTCAGGGTGTTCTTGCTCATGTCCACCAGCTCCCTGAAGAACACATCTCGGACCTCGAAGAAGCCTCGGCTGGTGGGCTCCATCAGGGCGTCGAGGATGGAGCTGATGTACGGCTCGATGCTGACCTTCAGTAACTTCTCAGCCTTGGGAAGAACCACGGCTACAGGGGGAGCAGAGCAGACGTCAGTTATCTCCACGCCCGGTTCAGGTTCAAGAACACTGACCAGGCTGGTGGTGCTGACCTTTGACCTTGTTGGTGACATGCTCCTTGGATGTTATGATCTGATCCATATCCGTTCGGATGGAAGCTTCCAGAGACGAGCGGCTTGCTTCACATTTCTGCACCACGGCCTCATACTGGGTCTGACACTGGTTCTGGACCAAGCTGTACACGGCGTCGCTGATCTGCAGACGGAACACAGTTGATCGTAAATCCAGGCGTCTGGGTCTGAACCGGACCCTCAGATTTCAGTTTGAGGTTTTAAACTTTGGTTGGATTTTTTCCACATGAGGTCAAATGATTCCATCCTTTAAATTCTGGGTTCGGATTCTCAGATGAAGAAAAGCAGAAATATTTTAAAATTGACAATTTCTCTGCTCTCAGAACCCGGTCCGGGCTGGGATGGGACTGTGGTTCCCTAAAGGTCCTATGAAAGTCTCAACTTTAGACACTATAGAAGGGGTAACCAATTAAAAATCAGTTGGGGCCGAATAAAAAACAACCAGGAAAGGTCCGGAGACATTTTTAATTATAATGCGTTACTTTAAACAGCATTTAACATTGAAATAAAATAGAGGTGTTTATGCATCAAAAAATGCTCTATTTCTTTATTTAAAAATTCAAAGTGTTTTTTGAAGTACAGAACTGAAATCTTTCAGTTTGGTGAAAGAAGTGACCGTTTTCTTTTCTTTCTTTTTTCTGTCTTAATGTTGGCAGTGGGCTTTATGCTGCCCTGCAAGGCTTTAAACCTTGCAGGGCACCGTATTAAAAGGAGAAGCGGCGCAAGTGAAGTTAGACACTGCCATCGGACAATATGCAGTAATTTATAAATGTTTTAAATCAGGTTGGGTCCGGATTAGCCAGCAGGTGAGTCCCGATCCAGACCCTGGTCCGCTAATCTGTGACCTCTGACCTATAGGTTCTCTGTGTGGTTCTGATCAGCTCAGTTTGCTGGTCAGTCAAACCCAGTAATATGGTCTTTGGACCAGCTGGCTGATAAAATCAGAATCTCCATATAGCTGATCAGCACAAAGGGCACTGAATTCCCAAAAAAGTAAAAAAAAAAAAAAATCCACTGGACTTTGTTTCTAAGTTTGAAGAAGTTTCGCCGGAGTTTGAGGATTTATGGAGTTGACCAAGAACAAAGCCTAAATCAAAGCAAAAACAAGGCTTTTGTTTTTTTGGTTGACTCTATAAAGCCTCAAACTCAACGCTATTTCTGACATTTTGACGTTTTGCTTCCTGGATGGGAAGCGAAACGTCAATCTAGGAAACAAAGACCAGAGGATTGTTTTTTTTTTTAGCTTTTTTGGAAGGACTATGACCTGGATGACAGAGAAACTTCACCAGTAAGGGGCTGGTTTGGTTGACTGCAGACACAGAAAGCCCAGTGGACCAGAACCAGGAGTTGATCCAGAACCTAAAATCATCATCATCGTTTCCTAGTGAAGCTCCTCCAAGTTCCTGCTTCAATCCAATGAAGTTGATGAAGGAGATGAAGGACCAACAACGAAGACAAAAGCTGTCGTCCTTTTGTTACTTCATAGTTGATTTTGGATAACTACAACAAATTTATCCTCGCTGACAAAAAGGTATAAAAAACATGAAGCACAGATGGAAATGTGACGAGTGGTTAGAGCTGAGGATGAAGGATCTCACCAGCATCCAGTTCCTCTGCCTCTCGTAGAGTTTTCCTTTTAGACGGGGGGAGATGAGCTCCCTCAGTTCAGGGAGGAGGCTGTCCATCACCAGGTTAGACAGGATCTATGAGGAGAGACACAGCGTTACAGAACCGAGGAGGCAGAACGCGTCCTGCAGGAACATCTGTCCACCACCAGGGGTCAGGAGGGAGGATCCAATCTTCCCATCAACTCACTGACTGTCCCACTTAATATTTTATTCTCAGAATCTGACTGAAAACGGGCCTCTGCCCGTGAAGCTAACAGCGCTAACCTGGATTGGTCCAATCAGATTGTCTCTTTATGATAACAGAGAGACAATGAGCTCAATAGATCAGTAAAAAAAAACAAACATAAAAAACATGCAACAGTAGGAACAGAACTAAAGGAGGCTCTCTGGGCCGACCTGAAGGTGGCGCTATGCTGCTGCCAACCAGAACCTGTCAAACCTCTCAGGTTTGACACTTTTCAGCTAGCATGGTTCCTCGGTTCTGGAGAAAAGGTCATTAAAAGGTTGGCGAGGTCCAAACCAACTCAGGCCGGGGAGGTTTTACCTGGGATGGTACGCCACACATCATCTCCCAGGTGCCAAAGTGCCCTTGAGCCTGGCGGTAGAGTCGGACTGTGTCGGTAAAAGCCGGTGTTTGGACTTTATGCTCCTCGGACAAACCTAAGAAGAGAGAATAAAGATCTGTTAGCAGGCTGGTGGGTGTGGGGTCCTGGTTTGGTATCAGAGTGAGGACATTTTCTTGTCCTCACTTCCTTTTTGATATGAGGACCACGGTGTGACTGGACATTAGGTTAGGCATGTTCTGGTCGTGGTTAGGCTTCATGTGCTCCTCCTTAATGTGCTCCTCCGTAAGGTCAGAGGTCGTGGCGTTCAGCGCTCATTGAAAGTCAATGGGGATGCTCACATCCGACACAATTTTACAAAAGGTGGCTGCATAGGTCCAACTGAGATAGAGCCCAGGTCTATTTTATTTGAACTACGCAGCAATTCAGCAGCAATTTCATGGGTCTGACAGGAAGAGAGATACAGTTACAAAGTAAAACACATCTGCTTTGGGGGAAAATGCAAAATAAAATTTGTTAATCGCATGAGGAAAGAGTCAGTTTGGAATCGAACATCGTGTATACTGTATAATAAGCGGAACTGACGGGTGCAAAAACAATGAAGGACAAAAACAAAACAAAAAAAAACAGATAAAGAAGGGCCTCACAAAAACAAGGGATATAAAGTGCAGTTTATCAATTCCCTCGATAAAAAAATTAACTTCAGGGGGAAAAAAATTTAATGGACATAGTAAAGTGGTGATCCTCTTTGAGCCTCACAAAAAAAAATAAAAATCTTCCCGGATCTCCATCTGAGAATCACCTCTCTCACCCAGTCAGCATAGAAACCGTTTTTTTTTTCGTATCGTTAGACATAGATCTTGTTATGTTTTTAATGTATAAATTCTCTATCTGTTCTGGTTAAGAGGGACTTTGCTTTATAGAATGATCCGGCATTTTTTTTTCTTTTATAACTTCTCATAATCTGTCCAAGTCAAATGTTGGAAATTGTTTCAATGTTTGTATAGCACAGACACAGAAGTGAAGAAAATCTGTGTAGATCTGCCCACCCTGCCTAGTCGAAGCCTCTCTATGCGCAGTCAGAAAAAAATAAATAAATCACACCTGAGATTAAAACATTGTACGCAGCTTAGAAGGACCTGAATCCTTTGCATCAGTTCACAGAAACTAAGATGGAAAAAAGTCAATTAGGTTCATTTAAAGCAGCAACAACACAGAACAAGAGTAGAACCATTGAAATGGGTCAAGCAGCTAATATTAAATGGGGGTTTAACTCCATATGCTACTAATGACTGCAGTCATCACCCAGGCTGAGTGAAAACCAGTTTTCCCAGCAGAACATGGATTTATTCGGAAATTAATCTAGATTAACATAAACCACAGATAAACAACATCCCAGCAGGCCGAGCGGGTTTCCAGGAGCAAAGCGGTCCCTGACATTAATGGGCTGCAGATGATAAACCTGGTAGAAACTTTTAGATGTTCCTGCCTTGCAGATAAACTCCTAAAAGAGCTTCCTAATTTGGACTTTGGGCTGAAATGTTGGTTCTCTGCCTCACCATCCCTTCCTGATTGGATTGTTTACAGTGCTGGCACAGTGCGGTTAATCTAGCTGCTCTCTTAGGAAGATATTCTCCAACCACTGGTTTCACAGGTCAGGGAGGGGCTGCTGCTCAGACAGCAGAATTAATGAGGGTTAATCAGAGTTCCAAGGAACATCATTTCAACAGAAAATGTTAATTTTCCTGGCTATAGGCCTTTTAAAGGCGGCGTCACTTGTTGCACCATTTAGCAGCTTGTTTCTAAAAACAAGGCTGTTGAGGACTGCGTTCAAAGATCAGTTCTAACAGGTACCATGGAATAACTCATCCGGTTTGGATCAGAACCACCAGAAAAAAAGAACCAAAGGAACAGTTCAGACCGCAAGCAGCAGAAGCAGCAAAAACGTGCGTGATGCTACGTTGTTGATGCTTGTTCAAGTTTAGTTCTGACGCACGGCTGAAGCATCTTTGCTGCTCTAGCTGGTGGTCGAAAAGTGGGCCTGATGCGCGTTGGGCGGAGCTACCCAATCCTTTCTTTTCCTGTAACAATGGCAGCTATATTTGCTGTTATGAGTGGGTGAAAAGTAGTTTTAACATGTTTTTAAGTGAGAAAGTCCATCTGAAATTGTAATCTAATAATAATCTAAGATTATGATCCTGCCTTCAAATATTATTTGGCTGTCAGAGCCGCTCAGACCCGCGTGCACAGGCGGTGCTCTGTCACTGGGAATCCCGTTCAATGGCAGCCTCTGGCCCGATCGCCTCTTCGCAGTTTTCCGCTACTGTTCGTGGCGGCTGGAAGTAGATGTTAGCATTTTTAATGTACGTAATCCAAGCTGCAGGCACCAGGGTAATAAAATCAAACGTATTTTACCTGCAGGTTTCGATATTTTGAGTTAATTTAGGCGTTAAACAGTTTCAGAGGAGGGATCATAGCGCTCTGCATCAGCAAGGCTTTGTCAGACTCCCAGCTCCCAGCTCAGCTTCTCTGATTGGGTTATTTGGTGCGTCAAGCAGCAAAAGTTCATTGTTCCAACTCCAGCAGCTGCTGCTTCGGAAGCGAGTCACCTTGTGTTAGATGCTCAAAAGCTCGTGAGGCGCTGCGTCGGCTGCTCAAAACACGCTGCAGGACGTTTTGCCGCGCCTTGATTTGCATCATCCATTGACTTTGCATGTAAACTAGCAGCCTCTGCAGCGTGCAGTCTGAACGTATCATTAAACTCTCATTATATGCAGATATTTTCTATGGTTCCTTTAAATGATGTACTTGGATCCTTAAAGCAGAGGAGGAACAGATAGAAGAGCAGAGCTCAGACCTGATGAAAACACATTCCCTGACAGTGGAGATGGACCCCTCTGAACTGGGACCATCTCTCCCACTGAGCTCCTACCGCTTCATAAACACCAATGGATAAACAGCCAGCAGCCTCTGATGTAAGCAACCTGTAAATTATTTGGGCCTGTTTGCTCCACAGTGTTTGAGGTGTTTATCTATTCTACATCTCTCCTTATATAGCCAGCGCTCCCCCTCCTATGTGCCGATTCCTCTATGTGGCTTTACTGATCTGTTTCACATCTTTAGGTCAGCTTGAAGCAGATTTGCTACCCTTTATAATTATGCCAGTCCTTGAATGAATCAGAGATTTTGGTTGAAATGTTCCTAAAATGGTCTCTCTTTAGCACCAAGAAACAAGCTGTCCGTCTCAATTATTACAGAAGCCACATGAAGCGCTGAATCCGTGCCCTGTTATCCGCTAGCCACTCATTCAGCCACAATCCTGCTGCAGCTCCAGACTGGAGGGAAACTTCTGCACCTGTTGGTTACAGAGCTTCTGCTAAAGCAGACTGTACAAAGCTGCTGTTACATGTTCCTCTAGAGCAAGTTCCTCATTTCTCCGTTTGCCCCAAACAGAGCAGGGAAACATGTCGTCTTCATCCAGTCCTAGTTTCAGTCCCATGTTGCTTCACGCTGAGGACATGTTCCAGAAAGAAGCACACAAGCCTGATGGCACACACAAAGATGATCTACTGACCGGTTGTTCATGCATCTTTTGCACCTTGCAGCCCCTTAAAGTTCCTTGTCTGGATAGTTTGTCCTCCATGGTAGATCTGGTACCCTTGCCATGCAGCAGCAGGTCGGGATGAACTCAGAGATGACCCCATTAAAGCTCCCCACACAGGCGGAGAGGAACATGAGTCCGCTTTAACTTCCTGAGGAAATAGGCCTGCGTTTCCATCATCTCTGCCTCCTCTCTATGGATGCAAAGGCCGGACTGCTCTGTGTTTGGATCTCCTGGATCCCAGAATTTGTTGCCTTGCCTTATGTTTGGGTCATGGTGCCGTTGCGTTGGGTGCTTGACCTCCTTTTTGTAGTCCGGTTCAACATCGTCTATTCGATCCCTACAGTCAACGTAGATAATAGGAAAGGAGGGAGCTGCACATACACCCCCCTGTGGCCCATATTTAGAATGAGAGTGGAGAACCTATGATTTTTCATCCTTGCGTATATTGGGATAAGAACCAGCTGAGTCCATTCCCACAGGGAGCAGCTCAGGCTGCTTAGTTTTCCAAACATCCTTACAAACCAAATCTGTGTGACTCGGATCCTTCGGCACGAGCGAAGCAGAAAAGCCTTTAGCCCTGTTGCCACACAGCCGGTTCTCATCTAACATTTGGAGGATTTCCGTCTGCAAATTAGCTTCAAGGCTGCTTCAGGTTCCGCATCTGTTCTCATTAAGTCAGCAGATCACACGCTGTGAACCATTAGCTTTCCATGCTGTTGGTCTGTTCTTCTGCTTCCCATAAAAACATCTGCAGGACCAGGCCACGTTTAGTCATAGAAATGAGAAACATGACGTTGTGCCAATGCCATGAGTAAACAGACCGACAGCAACCAGTGATTCACTATCTTGTAGCAACATTAGCAGCAGAACCGGTTCTGAGTTCAGGTCCCTTTTTTTTATACAACATTATTTTAATCCATAGAGATTTGGAGGGATCCGATTCTGCTCATTTTATACGTTTCACCCCACTCCACAGCCCCCCCGCCCGGGGAGCCATCCACTATCAGCCCACTAGAGGGAGCCGCCTCAGGACCAGGAAGCTGTGGAGTCATCGGAGGCTCTGCCTTCATCTACTCGACACCAGCAGCTGTGATGTAATCACTACACGGATGGGTCCGCTGCCAGATACACAGAACTGAAAGGGAGGATGTAAGGGGATGCCTTCACTGTCATCAGGGAAGCTGCTCAATTTCCAAAGAAGCAAAAGTAAACGGAGCAAAGATTGGCCAATCCCACTGAGTCAGGGAGCCAGGTTCCCACGGTAGGCTGTGGTTGGAAGGCTGGGGGCCACTCCTTCACAAACGCTCTGAAGCTTTAGAGACGACCGAGGAGCTTTGGTTTGATCGGGTTTCCTCTCTTTTTAAACCCGTCTGTCTCCAACACAGAGACATGTTTATCCCTTTGTTTTCAGATGGAAAATATTGGACACAACTGGATTAAACTGGAGCGCATAGAGACCAGTTTATAGAGCGCTCTGACGTTAATTCAGCTGCAATCTACTGATCCTGATCCAGTAAAGCTAAATCATGATTTGGTGATTCAGACAAAGATCAGTGGGAAGATGATCTGCAGCACAGCTGGTGAAAACTGGATCAACAACATTCATGTTACTGACGTTAACACCAACAGGGGGTTTGGGAAGGGAATCAAACCCACAACCTGTCATGCCTGCAGGTCTCTGTCCAGCAGCTGAACCTTGAACTGGGGTTGAACCAAGGTGTTCCCACGGTCCAGTCAAAGTCCGGACCCGAGCCTGGTCATCTATGGCGCACCTTTTGTAAAGCTAAGCAGTAAAACATTCGATTTATGATTATTTAGCGGGTTTTAAGAGAAAAAAAAGGGGGTAATTTTTCCACCATGTCATTCATTCATTCATTTATAAAAATCTTACTTTATTAAATATTTAGTTTGCAAGTTAAATATTTAGCTTGTTAAATATTTAGCTTAAAAGTAAATATATATATTGTCTGCGGCCAAATAAATTATAATATAAATATATTCTATAACATAAATATATTAATAATTATTTAACAAACTAACCAAAAAAAAAAAAAAATTTACTTTCCAAACTAGCTAAATATTTAGTTTGCAAATTAAATATACCGTAGTCTGTTAAATATTTAGCTCCAAATATATCATAATATAAATATATTCTATAATATTAATATATTAATATTTATTTAACAAACTAACTAAAAAAATTTATTTTCCAAACTAGCTAAATATTTAGCTAGCTTGGTGCTAGCTAAATATTTAGTTTGTTAAATAAATATTTAATTTGGAGCTAAATAATTAATTACAAACTAAATATTTAGTTTAGGTCTAAATGTATCCAACATCCAAACTTAATGTTTGCAAATTAAAAGTAGTTTGTAAAAAAATAAAAATGTTTAGCTCAAAACTTAATATGTAGTTTGTTAATTATTTAAATCCAAATCTATTTGAAAATAAATATATTCAATAATATTAATACATTAATATTTATTTAATAAACTAAATATTTAGCCAGCAGTAAGCCAGCTAAGTATTTAGTTTGTTAAATAAATATTTGGAGCGAAACATTTAATTACAAAATAAATATTTAGTTTAGAGCTAAATGTTTAGTTTGCAAATTAGATATAGTCTGTTAAATAAATATTTAGCTCCAAATATATTCTATAATATAAATATATTAATATTTATTTTCCAAACTAGCTAAATATTTAGCTAGCTTGGTGCTAGTTAAATATTTAGTTTGTTAAATAGATATTTAATTTGGAGCTAAACAATTAATTACAAACTAAATATTCAATTTAGGTCTAAATTTATCCAATATCCAAACTTAATGTTTGCAAATTAAAAGTAGTTTGTAAAAAAAAAAAAAAAATGTTTAGCTCAAAACTTAATATGTAGTTTGTTAATTATTTAAATCCAAATCTATTAGAAAATAAATATATTCTATAATATTAATACATTAATATTTATTTAATAAACTAAATATTTTGCCAGCAGTAAGCCAGCTAAGTATTTAGTTTGTTAAATAAATATTTTGAGCGAAACATTTAATTACAAAATAAATATTTAGTTTAGAGCTAAATGTTAAGTCAACGAGCTATATATTTAGTCTGGAGCTGAATATTTATCAAACTAATTGTTTAATTTGCAAACTAAATATTTAGCTCCACACTAAGTATTTAACAATGTAACATTTTTATAAATTAATGAATGACAGTGAAAAAAATGACTTTGGGAAAAGAATTTTATCCTGTTAAAACACTAAATAACCAAAAATATTGCTCCTAATTTTTGACTGCTTAGCTACAAACGGCGCCCCATACTGATCAGCGTCTTCCAGTGATGGAAGCCGCTCACTGAGATACTCCTGGTTAGTTCAGAACGGACCAGTTCTGATCTAATCTTTAGATTATTTAGCTCCATTGTGTCTCCAATAACAAATCCTTAAAGGCGACCCGTTCTGGACTAATTTGGGACCGGTTCTGGATCCAATCAGGATCGGTTTCTTACCATCGTTTGTGTGTCGAACGCAGTCCTGCAGGACGGCGAGCCACTTCTGCTGCTCCTTCTCCGTCTCCACGCAGAAGTAGAGGTGGCGTGCGTACGGATGCCAGAGGATCAGGGGGAACTGGAAGGGAAACTTCAGGTAGGGGGCGCTGCCCACCTTGGCTTTCACACCTGGAAACACAAGCAGGATTCAGAGTAACGGTTGCTGTGGAAACGAGCGATGCTCCACCACTGCATCGGCACTCACCAGGCAGGCTGCTGCTGATCAGGTCCAGGTACTGCTCCATGCTGGTCAGCACCTTGTAGCCCGCACAGTTGATGGTTCCTTTCGGGGGGAGGTGTTTGTCATAAGCCTGAAGGGTCAAACGAGGCGGGAGGTGTTAGCATGTCAATAAGGGCTCCTTCTTTATCTTCACCGTGTGCGTCTCTTACTGATTTGTTGTCATAGTAGTTGATGTTGTAGGTGTCTGGGACAAAGAGGAAGCGGCTCCTCCATTTCTTGTTCTCCTCCAAGCACTGGAAGAGCGACCCAGAGAAGATGGACTTGTTCTCCAAAGGAATCTGAGAGACACAAAGAAGCACTTAAAATGAAAAGATGGTTTGGGATCTTCTCCAATCTACCAAACCTCACAAGCTTTCATCATCTGGACAACAGGGAGAGATCCAAAAACTCTTTACATCCCAGAGTCTGTATGATCTGGACCAAGTGTTAGGAGGTTCTGCAGTTAGTTTTTTTAGCCTGATTTATCAAACCATCTAAATCAACCTGAAGGGAACTCCTTTGATAGAACAAAGCTGCCAGCAGGTGGCGCTGATATAAAAGAACCTCAGAATTACAAGCCATTTTTGCTCCTTTTTTACATAAAATGACAGCGTTGCACATCTAAACATGTTATGTTTATGTTAATTAAAAAAATTAATCATCTTTGATAAAAAAAAAAATCATTAAAAAATGTTTATACATAAACACCTGCAGCCTGCGTTTACAGAGTTGGCTGTTTAAAGACTGCTGTGACCAAACTTGAAAGAGTTAAGTGTGAGCTAGATCAGGTAGCAGGAGAGTATTTGCATGGAGAGGGGCGTGCAGACTGCAGCAGGAGTTGACTCACACAGAAGGAACCTGAACATTAGTCAAACCTTCTACCTCTGTTGCATTAAACCAGAAACCATAAGCTTTGTCCCATCTCTGTTTGACCATTAGAAGTGAACTCCTTCACAGACTCCTGTTCTTCTGCTCTAAGCTGCCTTCTTTACACCATTTTTCATTGTCTTTACTCTGGGTGCAACAGAATAGAATCCAGAATAACTAATGCTAGAACCATCTACTAGTAATTAGGGCAGGGTAAAAAAAAAATCAATTTATCGATTTTGAATCGATTACTTTACATTTTTGCAAAATCGATGTCTAGGGAATGAGAACGATTCATTTTATAGTGACTCGCGTGACGATCACATTCAAATAAAAGAAAGATGCACTCAAAATTACTTCAAGCCAGACAGCTGCAAATATACCCAATTGGTTGACTGA